CTTTCCCTAGGCAGCCCTTTGTGTTCGTGGAAAGCTATGACTGACAAACAGGACCAAACAAGGCTGTGGGCTTTGACTCTCCTAAAACTGTCCTCATCTGGAGAGGAAGAAACCTTCCTGGATAGAGGAAACAAAACTAATACACAGTATGGGAAGCCATAAGAGAGGAAAAAAAAATAAAGAAGGGACCTGGCTCTTTATGAAGACTTCTCCAAAGTTCTGGAGAGCTTCACAGTAGCTTCAGGCTGTGACAGAAATGGTCTAAAGTCATGTTTATTGGTCAGAGAGCACTAAATGTGGTTCTAAATGTCTTGTGATGAATCCTTTAAAACCATAAGTCACTTGAAATAAGAATATGAAGCCAGTGCTAGTGGCTCACTCCTGTAATCCTAGCTACTCAGGAGGCTGAGACGGGAGGATCTCAGTATGAAGCCAGCCTGGGCAGAAAAGTCCATGAGACTTTATCTCCAATTAATCACCTAAAAACTGAAAGTGGAGTTGTGGCTCAAAGTGATTGAGTGCTAGCCTTGAGCACAAAACCTCAGGGACAGTGCCTAGGCCCTGAGTTCAAACCCCATACCCAACAAAAAAAATCACTGTGTATTATACTGCATTTTCTTGGTCCATTCGTCCATTGAGGGGCATCTTGGAAATATGGTATATATACATAATAGAATTCTATGCTTCCATGAGAAAGAATGACAGCCACATTTGTAAGGAAATGTAAAGACTTGGAAAAAGAATACTAAGTGAAGTAAACCAGACCCAAAGAAACACAGACTGCATAGTTTCCCTTCATTTGTAATAATTAGAATGTGCCTATAAATCTATTAGTAAACCCAATGGATAGTAAAAGACAAATAATTACTCTTGGACATGATTAATTAAATAGCACTCTAAACATTCACCCAGTAAGACTAAAGAGTATTCTTAGGAGAGGCTCACAAGGGCTCAATAGCTATGTGCATATGACCATATAAAATGCTGCTTATTGAAATGAATTCCAACAAATAGAATTAAGAGTTTTTTGTTGTTGTTTTTTTGGGTCCGGTCATGGGGCCTGAACTCTGGGCCTGGGCGCTGTCCCTCAGCTCTGCAGCTCAAGGCTAGCACTCTACCACTTGAGCCACAGCACCACTTCTGGCTTTTTTTCTTTTTGCTTATGTGATGCTGAGGAATTGAACCCAGAGGCAAGCGCTCTACCACTGAGCCACCTTCCCAGCCCCGAGGTTTTGTTTTTTAATTGTATGGCTTGCAGTTTTTTTTTTCCTTCTTCCTTTGGTTTATTCCCTTTTGATACTTTTTAAAAATTTCTGTATACTTTGTATATACTTGTATACAAGTTTATCTGATTTGGAGAGGGGACAGGGAAGCACAGAAATGGTGGGACAAAGGGTGAACTAGTTCAACAGTGATACTCACTGGACACTATGTTAGAAATAAACTATACAACTTGTGTGGGGGGGAGATGGGAGGAGAAAAACTGGGAGAGAACGAGGGAGGAGGTAAGGACTGTTCGAAAGGAAATATACTCATTAGCTAACTTATGTAATTGTAACATCTCTGTAAATCACCTTTACAACAATTTTTTTAAAGAAGCAATGGAGATCATATTGTCCCAAAACTATAACATTCGACCTGCTAATGGGGCAGAATAGTTGGACAGAGGCTGCCTGTCCTTCCAGATGAGAGATGCCAGGCTGATGTGTTTAGAGCAGAAAGGAAAAATGCTCTTCTGTGAGGCAAGGGTTTGGGTGGATGGCTTCCGCATTCCTGTCTTCAGTGGAATAAATAAGCAGTGGCCATGTTGGCAATTAGAGGGTTAGCAAGAGGACACGAGGAGTGGAACCTCCTGATCTCTACTTGGCTCAATCCCCGGGATATCAATGCACCTTATATTCTTTCTTTCTTTAATTTTTGTCGGTTGTTCGGCTTGAACTCTGGGCTTGGGCGCTGTCCCTCAGCTCTTCAGCTCAAGGCTAGTACTCTACCATTTGAGCCACTGCACCATTTCCTGTTTTCTGAGTGGTTTATTGGAGATAAGAGTCTCACGGATTTTCCTGCCTGGGCTGGCTTTGAACTGCGATCCTCAGCTCTCAGCCTCCAGAGGAGCTAGGATTACAAGCATGAGCCACCGGTGCCTGGCTTCTATTTTTTTTATGCCAGTGTGAACTGAGCCCACATGACCACTGAGGGGGTGCCCACCAATTAAGCAAGTTGTTTGAGGAGGTATTAACTTGGCTTTTAAAAGTTAAATTGCTAAGCTGGGCACCAGTGGCTCACGCCTGTAATCCTAGCTACTCAGGAGGCTGATATCTGGGGATCAGGGCTCAAAGCCAGCCCTGGCAGGAAAATCCATGAGACCTTTATCTCTAATAAACCACTTAGAAAACAGGAAATGGTGCTGTGGCTCAAATGGTAGAGTGCTAGCCTTGAGCTGAAGAGCTGAGGGACAGCGCCCAGGCCCAGAGTTCAAGCCCCACAACCAATAAAATAAAAGTTAAATTGCTTTTTTTTTGAGGGGGGGGCCAAAGGGGAAGTGCAGAAAGGATGGAAGTTACAGTCATGCTACTCAGTATACATTATGTGGCAAATGATATATGTAATTTGTGGGCAAGAACAGAAAGAGAAAATGGGGAGAGCAAAGGGGTGACACTGTCCAAAAAATAAATGTGCTCATTATGAAATGATAACTCCTCTGAATAACACCTATAGCACTAAAATTATATTTTAAAAAACTAAAGCAAAAAAAAAATTGCCAGGTGCTGATGGTTCACACCTATAATTGTAGCTACTCAGAGGGCTGAGATCTGAGGATCATGATTCAAAGCCAGCATGGGCAGGAAAGTCTGTGAGCTCTCTGATTAGCTACAAAGAAAGAAAAAAAAGAAGTGGATCTGTAGTTTCAAGTGGTAGATTGCTAGCCTTGAACATAAAATCTCAGGGGCCATACTCAGGCTGAGTTTAAGCTCCCGGACTGGTGCACACATGCACACACATGGGCACGCACACACACATACATACTAAGTTAACTGGGTGCCAGTGGTTCATGCCCGTAATACTAGCTACTCAGTAGGCTGAGATCTGAGGATCTTGGTGCAAAGCCAGCGTATCCAGGAAAGTCTATGAGAATCTCATCTCTAATTAACTACCAAAAAGCCACAAGTGGACCTGTAGCTCAAGTAGTAGAGCACAAACCTTAAGTGAAAAAGCTTAGAGACAAAGCCTAGGCCCCGAGTTCAAGGCCTAGCACATACAAAGAAGTTAAAATTAAATCCTATTATATATTACTGAGGGGTGGAGCTATAGGGTGTCAGTCTAGGCCTAAGCCACAGGAAGCAGTGTGCCATCTTCCCTAGACTCAATATTCAGTTTCATACTCATAACAGCTGGGACATTTTTCAACCTAATTTTAAAAAAATAATAAAGAGCATCTTACAGAGCAAAACCAAAATCTATACAAATTTTGGAAAGAGACAGAGTCAGCCCCTTGGAGCTCAGCCTCAGAAATCTGCAGGCAACAGGGACTCCACATCCAATACCACACCCAGCCCCTTCACCCTGCCTGGGTCAAGGAGGCCGCAGAGGGGGTAGATACTAGAATGGGCTGGGACAAAGCCACCCTGGGGCTGCATAGCAGTGGAAGGACTTGAGCAATGAATGAGGAGATGACAGCAGTGACAGGGCACAGCAGAGAGTGGGGGGAGAGAGAACACAGGCCTGACACCAGAGACACTGAGCCACTAAGAGAGAGCGGTGACCCCAAGTCTGTTGGCGGGGTAAAGACACTGACACTACTGCTTCTCCAGCAGAATGCATCACAGTTTGTGGATCTGGCACCCTAATTCTCTGCCCCCACCTGTAGCATCTGCAGGGAGGTCTCCGCTTAGCGGGAGCATCCAGTATCATCATGAGGTATTTAGAGACTTCTTTCCCCCAAATAAATCAGCCAGACCACGAGACTCCTCAAAAAAACTTTTATTCTTTTCTTTTGACCAGCACACTGTCTGGTCCCCTGTCACACAGGCATTCGAGAATCTTTTTTTTTTTTCCTTTTAAATAAGCAATTTGTAACACTGGGAGGATTTCACTTCAGTATTTCTGAAAATGATTTTGAAAATGATTATTCCTGGAAGGGACTCATCCCCCATGACGTGGGTAAGGTTCTGTCTGCACTGGAATAAACCACCTCAGTCAGCAAATGTCTCAGAAGCTACCTTAGTCAGCGACTGTCTCAGAGAACTTAAGTGCTTTGGAAGGGCAATTAAAAAAACAAACAAACAAAAATACCCACTCAAGACCAAAAGTCAAGAGTTGTCCTAACTGCTGGGAAGACTGTGGCATGTTCAGTCCAGGGCAGCTTCACAGGACTCAGAGGACACAGAATGTGTCCCTTCCTCACCAGGGATACCCAGGACAGCTCCCCTGGCTGAGTCTTCAGCAGAGGATAGACCAACAGACTTTGAACTTGGCTCACTGGCCTGGGCCTCCTGCAGCTGGCTTAGCTATGGAGCTGTATGTAACTCTGAAGCACGCTCTCCATGGGTTCACCAGATGGAGCAGCAGAGAACCAGAATCAGGCAATCCGGGCCATCATCAAAGGAGTGGAGACTCCCCTTTTCCTACCACTTCATTACCTGCCATTCAACACACACTCAGCATGGACAGACTTTTTACAATTTAAATTATTTGCTCAAAAATACAATAAAACATCATTCTACACAATTCTCTTTGTGGGTCCAATTCCATCCTGAAAATGAACTTGTAAGATCTTATACAAAAACAAACACTGATTTCAAATAAATAGAAAAGTGAAGGATGAGCTGACCCACCCCCCTTTTTGTGCCAGTATTGATACTTGAACTCAGGACCAGGGCACTGTCCCTGAGCTTTCTCCCTCAAGGCTGGCACTCTATCACTTGAGCCACAGTCCTACTTCCAGCCTTTTGGTTGCTATTGGAGAGATAAGAGTCTCACAAACTTTCCTCCTTGGGCTGGCTTTGAATCTAGATTCTCAGATCTCAGCCTCCTGAGTAGCCAAGAGTGCCTCACTTATTTTTGTTGTTTTTAAATTACAAGGTAAAAACACCAGCTGCATCACAAAGTATTTGCAGGATGAAACACATCAAGAAGGCTCTTTGGCACAGCCTTCAAGTCACAGCTGCATTTCCAAGTGAGGTTTGCTGCGTTCAGAATTCACAATGGATGCCCCCACTGAGATCCTTCACTATACCCTCTTTGATGAGCTTCAGGAGGAACTTGGTCTCCGTGGTCACATTATGCATGGTCTGCCAGTCCATGGCTGCCATGCACTGATTGCCAAAGTAGTGTAAGGGTGTTCTGGGTTGATTGAGATCGTATCCAAAACCTACCAAGCTGACTTCATCACACAGATGTGTGGCTAACACCACAGCTATAATGCCCATGGTGGGGACATTCTGGAGGGAAAAAAAAGAACATAGACCAAATTAGAAAAAAAAATTCTAACCACAATTCACCGCTGTGCAGGTACTGTACATATTAGGCAAGCATAAAAGCTGTTCTGAGGTTGCCATTTGATATATCAGTTAATTTTACCTGTAAGAGAATTTTAAAATCTAATTCTCAAGTTAGGAAATATCTAAAATATGATCTGTGATGTGAGTACATCCTCAAGAGGCAGCTCTGCAGTTTGTGTACTACAATAGAGTTTCTTTGTAAAGCTTCTGCCCACAGTGGCCAGAAGCACAAAGCAAGCCCAAGACTACTGCCTGCCTTGCCTGCCCACCCACCTTCCCACCTTCCTTCCTTCTTTCCTTCCTTCCTTCCCTCCCTCCCTTTCTTCCTTCCTTCCTTCCTTCCCTCCCTTCCTTCCTTTCTACCTTCCTTCCTTCCCCCATTCTTCTCTTTGGTGCAAGTTGCCAATGTTTGAACTCAGGGCCTCCAGCTAGCTCAGCTTGCATTCTCAGATGGGACTTGACCATTTCAAATGTGACTCTAGCCTGACATTTAATTGTTTATTTTGGAGACAGGAATCTCCAGGACTTTTCTGCCTGGGCTAGTACTGAATCTTGAGTCTCTAAATCTCAGCCTCCAGAGTAACTAGTATTAGAAGAACAAGCCACTGGCACCCAGCTAAGCAATCTCTTAATGATGAACATTTTGGCTCTTTTTAAAAATTTTTTTTATTGTAAAGAAACTGTAGAGAGGGGTTACAGTTACATGAGTAAGGTAATGAGTACACTTCCTATCGAGCATTGTTACCCCCTCACTTTGGCTCTTTTTAGTCCTTTGTTACTAATCTCATGGTGAATATCCTTTAATATCAGATGCTGTAGATTTCTCTACCCTCGAATTTTTCTGGATCAAAGGCATACATGTAATATATATATTTATTTATTTTTATTTTTTTGTTGGTCATGGGCTTCAACTCTGGGCCTGGCTTCTGACCCTGAGCTCTTCAGATCAATCTGAGTGCTCTACCACTTGAGCCACAGCACCACTTCGTATATTTATATATCCTATAAAATCTTTTTGGCTTTTTAAGAAAGGGTCTCAGCCAGACACTGGTGGCTCACATCTATAATCCTAGCTACTCAGGAGGCTGAGATCTGAGGATTATGGTTTGAAGTCAACCTGAGCAGGAAAGTCAGTGAGACCCTTATCTCCAAGTAACCATGAAAAAGCCACAAGTAGGACTGTGGCTAAAGTGGTAGAATGCCAGCCTTGGATGAAAAAGCTAAGGGACAAAACCCTGTCCCTGAGTTCAAGCTCTAGTATTGGCATTTAAAAAAAAGGAGTCTCACTATGTTGCCCAAGCTGATCTCCTCCTGTCTGAACTTAAGTGGGATTACAGGTGCATACACCATGCCTGTCCAAGATAACTTATATGTAAATTAGATTTATATTGTTAAATCATCCTCCAGAAAAAGTGCTAAGTAGAAGTCACAGAGGGATAAAGACCAATTCAACCATGAGGAACCCAGAGGCCAAGGTATACTGTGAATAAACATGGATGGAGAGACATTTAATAATGACTAGTAGAGATGATCTGGCTGTACAGCTGAACTCATGCAATGAGACAAGAACATGAAGCATGAATATATCTCCTCTTCAACAGTTAACTTTGAGATGGATTAAAAAGATTACCTTATCTCGGCCCCAGAATCTTGACTGAGGCTCAGAGTACTGAAGGATGTCAAAAGCAGTCTCTCTGATAATAACCGGATTCAAAATCCTGAAATGTTTTGGCTGCAATGGTATTTTTTCAGCCACCTGCTTCCAAAAGAAGAGTCGCACCCAAAATGGCTAAAGGAAGAAAGCAATCAATCAGTATTTAGTACAGTTAGCCTGTCAGTAGAGGGTGAAGAAGCATTTCTTGCTAATAGGGCCAAGGTCATGGGCACAACCCCATATGATCTTGTGCTCTGCATTATGCAACATAGTTATTGATCAATGGAAATCTAGTACCTTGACTCAAAAAGAACTCTGAAAGAGTTACAAAGGCAATACTGGCCAAGGATAGAAACTGTAGAACTAGTTTTTGGTTGTGTGAGGAAGAAACTTCTCAGGGAATGTCCTAAGTTAGGAAGCCGTTTTCCTATGTGTGGCCATCATTTTGTTCAAGACAGGGCAATTTAAGGATATTAAGTGTTGTGAGTGTTCTGCCAGGTGGGCCTTCTTGTATTTGCTCTCTACTGACTATTTCCTAGTCCCATAAAGTTGAGTGGTAACTGACTGCAACTCACATCCTACGGGCTTCATTTTTGTACAAGAACTTCTATCCAATAAAACCTAGAAGACCATGACAACCTGTTCAGAATCAAGCTTTGGAGAGATATGAAGAAAGGAGAGTATGTTCTATCAGTTTTGCAGACAGCCAATTTGTGAGCGTTTACAAAAATATACATATACTTCTTGACTGCGAGATCTGAAATTTAGATAAATGTAATGGCACATAATTCTAAAGTAATCTGATTATTGTAAAGACCCAACCAAACTAGGGCCATCTCCTCCACGCTGGCCCCTCTGGCATGCTTTGAATTTACTCCAACAAGATGAATGACTGAAGCATTCTGGAGAATGGCTTTGGAACTGTATGCCTATTGGCTATCTTCAACAACAGTTTACATTTATCCAAGTAAATCTCAATTCTAGAACTAATCCAAAGTCATGTCAACCCAAGTTTAAAATTAAGGTGGTGATCTCAATCTTAGTGATAGAAATCTTGGTTTATCTGAAGCTGACATTCCTATTAAGTCATGATCACCATGTTTACATGCTACTCCAAGTCAGATTCGGAAAGCAATGTGCAGCAAGGTATTCTGTGGGGTTTCCATTGGAAGACAACACAAAAGTAAATATTCCTCGGTGTCCATAATTATAATTTGAGAATCTTTCACTTGTCATTAAAGCACATTTGACTGAGAAAGTGCTTACCAGGCTCTCATTTTTTACCATTGCTTGAAGCCAGTTGAGGTCAACACTTTTAAATAAAACAGCAACAAATAAGTCATTGGCATAATATTCAGCCTCAGACAGGGGTGCACCTTCTGGGTAAGTCATCCTTATAGTAGTTTTATTCCCAACATGCTCAGAATATCCTTCAACTGGTGCACTGTTTAACCTATTCAAATCAAAAGAACACAGATACAGTAACCAAGCAAGCCACCATGTGGCATCCCAGGTCATGGGTCCACTGCAATTCCATCACTGTTCTATTTGCTTCACACATTCTATCTCCACAGAAGTGCGCTGTACTACATCCATTATCCCAGGGAGGCAACAGAGGGAGGCACAAGCAGTTAGCAGACTTGCCCCAAATCACAAAGGTACCAAGTGAATGCATCATTACTTTTTGGATCAAGGGTCTGGAGTGGTGAATTCCATCATCATCCCTCATTAACTAGACATTTCTCCACTTCCTCTACTGCTAATATCAAGGCCTTAGACTCCCAGACTAGAAACCTTAGTGCTTTCTGATATAACTGTCAAACTGTCAGAAAATTCTGCCATTTGCTTTTTCAGTATGTCTCTCAGACTAACATTCTGTCATCACTTCCACTATCTGTGTATCACCCCAGGCTACAACCTTCATACCCTCTGAACCCAGCCTCATCCCTCCTTTCCCCTGTTTTCAATCCACCTGTCTACCATTGCTAGAAAAATTGAATTAGGACTCAGCTCTCATCGAGGCCCTGACTCTGCACATCGCAGAGTGGAGCCAGCTAATCAATTCAATGTATTAAGGATCTGAAAAGCATCCCTTAGAGCCAATGATCCTGCTTTGAAGAACTCCTCCAAGGAAATAACCAGAGTTGTACACAAAGGGACATAAATCAGAATTTGCAAAGCATTTTAAAGTAACAAAAACAAAAAAAATCCAGAAACAATCCAAGCAACAGAATCATTCAATGACTTTATAGTACCTTCATCTAAAAAAAAAATCCCACTAAGAATGCTTAATGACATCAGAAACTATTCATAACAGTAAGTAAAAACTACCTTATGAAACTAGAAATGCCAGCAGCCAGGCACTGGTAGCTCACACCTATAATCCTAGCTATTAAAGAGGCTGAGATCTGAGGATCACAATGTGAAGCCAGCCTGGGCAGAAAAAGCTGTGAGACTCTTAACCTCCAATTAACCACAAAAAGTTGGAAGTAGGCTCAGGGTCAACACCCAGGCCCTGAGTTCAAGCCCAGGACAGGCACACAAAAAAAGAAAAAAGCCAGAAGTGGAGGTATAGCTCGCGTGATATGGTGCTAGTTTTGAGTGAAAGTGCCAAGCAAGAGTTAGAGACCCTGAGTTTAAGCCCCAATACTGGTGCTATCACAAATATATGTACTCAGAAGTACGTGTCTAAAATAAAAGTTAAAAAAAAGAGCAAACAACACTAGTGATTATTTATGAGTGATTATACTTCCTTAGATTTTTATAATTGTTAATAATTAATCATAGTTTACCTTCATAATTGAAAAAGACGTTTTTTGTGTGTGTGGTGGGGATTGAACTCATGGTAGGCAATTGCTCTACACTTGGAAAAATAAATTTTAAATATTTATTTATTGATGATACTGTGTTTTGAATTAAGGGCCTCATTCTTGTTTGGCTTGTTTACTAACCTGGCAAGCTACCACTTGAGCCACACCCCTAGACCAGCTTTTAGCTGGTTATTTTAGAGAAAGTCTCAAGGACTTTTCTGCCAGGGCTGGCTTTGAACCACAATCTTCTGGATCTCACTCTTTTTGAGTAGTTAAGATTACACGTGAGCCAGCAGCATGCAGCTGGAAAAACAATTTTTAAAAAGTTCAATGCCTGTGGGGTTGAATTTATTTTTTTAATTAATTAATTATTTTTTTGTATGTTCTCTATCCAAGCCAATACTGTCTTCCAGGGTTCACTAGCTTTAAGCCCTGCTTCTGAAGTCTAGTATCCCCCTAATGTCATTCTCTTACTGCATCTTTCTGTGTCACCCTGCTTGGCAGCCTTCCTCTGCTAGCTCACCTGAATCTACCTATCGTTCCAAACCTCCTCTTACAGGCTTTGTCAATAATTATGTTCCACAGCATGCCCCTCAAATGTACAACCACTATGGCACAGTTTGGGCATGGGATCATTTTGTATTTGTTCCAACTTCTCAAACAGCAAATCCCTTGAGGTCAGGGACCTTGAAGACATGAAGGCCGTTCACTGTCTCTGGAGCCGCACTAAGCCAGGCAATGGACAGACTAGAGAAGAAAGGCTGGTTTTAAAGGCAAAGGTACCTTATCACAACATCAAACTGGTTCAGGGTGTGGCCCAGTTCTAGTCCATGCAGTATTCCACCACTTCCAATAACCACGCACCGCCTACACTGCTTGGCTTGCAAGTGCTTGGGGAAGTCGTGCTCAGGCAATACATCCAGGAGCTCCTGGACTTTGCTGGAGAACTTCCGGAATCCGAAAGGGGGGTCATACTCGTCCTTGCTTTCACTCACTTTGGGAGCCTTCTGAACGAAAGGCACCAAGTCCACGTCGTATCTGTGCTCAAATAACAGTGCCATTGCTGACTTCGCAAACTTGGGCCGACATTCTTCCTGCAAGACTTGCTGAGCATATTTCTGAGCCCTCTGGAATGGAATCACACAAATCTGAATTTGAATACTGCTCATCATTAGAAATACATTCTTATAGATGACTTTTGTCCTCTGGTGTCTGATGTAGCTCCTTTGTTGACCATTACCTCTTAACATTTGCTTTTCAGAGCTAATTTATGCTCAGGGACAGGAAGAAACCACCAGGGGAGCATTGTGTGATGGGAGAAACTCTGCCAGGTGTTTATTTATAGCACAGATAAAGCAAGAAGGCCTCTCACCTCCTACTCCTAGCCTAACATTGTACAAACAGGTTTGGAGAAAAAAATTGACGTGGTAGTCTTAATACTACTTCATTTTTCAATTGAGCACCAGTGCCTCATGCCTGTACTCCTAGGCTGAGATCTGAGGATCACAGTTCAAAGTCAGTCCAGGCAGGAAAGCTCATGAAACTCTTATCTCTAATCAAGCACCAAAAAGAAAACAAAAGCTGGAAGTAAAGCTACAGCTCAAGTGGTAGAGTGCCAGCCTTGAGTGAAAAAGCGAAGGAACAGTTCCCAGGCCCTGAGTTCAAGTTCAAGCTCTAGCATTCACACACACACACACACACACACACACACACACACACACACACACACAATTTTGTTTCATAAAATCCATGCTACAACATGTTTGAGGACATTGTGCCAAGGGAAATAAAACCAGCTGCAAAAAGACAAATACCATATGACTTCACTTGTACCAGGAATCTAAAGTCAAGTTTATAAAAGCAACAAGTAGATCAGTGTTACCAAGGACTGACTGATAGGGTTGGGGGTGTCTTGCTCAAAGATCAAAGATACAGGTTTCAGTTTTGCAAGATGAAGAAGCCCTGGAGGCTATGTCACAACACTGGGTGTACTAAACATTGACCAACTGCATACTTAAAATGATTAAGACAGTGCATTTTATGTTATATGGCTTTATTTTGAAAACCTCTCTCTCACACACACACAAAACACAACACAAAAAACAAAACACAGGCTTCCTATTTCACATTCTCACCTAAGCAGGGTAAGAAACAGGCTTGTTTATGAGTTAGGGTCATGAATACCACAGAGGTTTAGAAGGCAGATTATTTTAAATGTTATCGGGGAACAATGTCTCATTAACACAGAAATGTGCTGGTTTCAGATGCATTTTCCCAGCATTTTCCAGGTTTGTAGCAACAAGGAACTGCAGCTGACCTTGGGCTGGACACAACAAACCAGTAGTGGCAGGCTACATGTGCTGTCAGTCATAGGTTAATCTTAGCTCAGTGTGGCAAAATGGTGCCTTGGAACTGTCAAGTTATTCTCCCTAGTCTTTGTGTTTCAGGCCTTTGTCTCTACCTTCAGCAGCCTGGGCTCTGCCCTGAGCATGCAGGCCTCCCCTGCAAGCCTGGGGCTCATATATACATGCCTGAGGGCGTATGTGGTGTCATGGCTGGTATTTATTCCTAGGATATCATCATGTCTTCTGAATTCTGTCAGTACCTTAAGGATTCTTATTGTTTTGAGTTTTAAATGTTTATTACCCTATTTCTTTTTCTCAGAGCCTTTTTACTCTTACTATCTGATTTTTGTAAAATACATTTTTAAAGGAATCTACTTACCCCATTATGACAGAAAGGCTTTGAAATATTAGAGCTTCAAAAAAAGTCACATGATGCTTGACTCATGAGGCACATGAGGCTCTGACTCCATTTCTGAAAAAGGAAACTGATATTCTCTGAGCTTCAGAGCTAATGTTAAAGGGATGTGAATAGGTGTGAGAGGCAATTTAAAGATGCTTTTGCTATAAGTTAACTAAAAGTGGGATAAAAGCTGGACACTCAGCCATCTCCTTCATTTTGCAATCACTGATAAGGATCTTATCACAAAAGGTAAGCTGCCCCTTCAGATAGGCAATACCTTTCTCTGAGCAACTGAAAAACAACAACAACAACAAAAAAAAAAAAAAAACAGGCAAAAGCTACAGACTATTAGCTAGGCCTCCAGAGACACAGACTGAGCTATGGTCAACCAGGCCATACCAGAGACTCAGGATGGTTTTAATTATGTGTATCTTTTCCAACCCTGCCATCAATTCTTTCTCTGAGGCCAGAGCACATACACACCCCTGGAGATGTACAAAAGGGCTGTTTTCCTATGGTTGCCATATAATAAATCCCTTTTCTCTCCCCTCACCATGCCTCTTAATTTGCATATGGGGGGTAAGTGGCAAGACCTAATGTGGGACTCCTGGGGTATAAAAATCTGGTTCCATATCCACTGTCACCATTCACCCCTGTGGACCTTGAGAGATGGCCATTAGCACCTTTGCTCTGTGAACTTAAGGTCAAAGAGGTCTGAGGTGGTAAGTAACACATCCCCTTCAGAAACAGCAGTTGCTATCCACAGAAAACAGCACACAAACCATTAAGCAACCATTTGCATATGGATAGCCATCTTCTGAGGAATTGGTCACAAAGTCAAGCCATAAACCTTCATGACCCTCATCTCCCTGACCCCTTCCTAGCACATGACACCAAATTGGGACAGGTGAGCAAACAGAAGGACCACATGTCCAAATGCACATTCATCTCCAGACTCAGGGCTGAAATTCACTCTTGGATGATACCTCAAGCACCCGGTTTTATAGAATCTCTCTGAATAAAAAAGAAGAGAGCTAAGACGTATAAAAAAGAGATGGACAGAAGCTTCCCCCTTGACTCAGGATGCTGAGCCCTCCCCTGCTGCCAAATCTTCTCCTTTGAAAAGTTGCATTTGGAAAGGAGTGAAATTTCATTCCATTCTCATTCTGGAAAAGAGCTCACTTTCAGGCTTCAAATTTAATTTTCTAGACTGTGAGCAGGGCACAAGGCTTACAAATCATTTTGACTGTAACCCCTTCCGTGCCGGATTCCCAGCTGGGACAGGACATAAATCCGGGCATTCTAAATGCCCCTGGAAACCAAGCCCATCAGGTCCTCCTCCTGCCCCCATTTCGTTTCAACTTGTTTACAGACATGGTGGGTAATTTCAATGGGATAATTTCCAACTGTCATCTCAGTGTCTTCCCTCTCCTCACTGCTCCCCTGAGGTTCAAAGCTTAGAAGATAATGTCTCACCTCAAAGAGCTGGAGTAGTGAGAGGAAACAGGAGACACCCATTGCTTTGGCTGTAGTGTCAGTCTGGGGCCTGGGTGGGACCATCCAGTAGAGGCCCCAGGGACACAGGGGATATCAATGCCCTTGCAAGATACAGGACAATTGTCTCAAATTCAGGGATGGAAATTGTTTTTGTTTTTGGTGTCAGTATGGAGGCTTCAATGCAGGTCTGATGACTGTTTCTTAACTTTTTTGCTTAGGGCTGGAGTTCTACCACTGAGCCACACCTTCACTTACAGCTTTTTTTTTTTTTTTCTGGTGGTAAACTGGAGAAAAGAGTGTCACGGACTTTCCTGCCTAGGCTGTCTTTGAATTGCAGTTCTTAGATCTCAGCCTCCTGTGTAGCTAGGATTACAGACAGCAGGCCCCAGTACCAGGCTGCTTCAGTTTTAAAAACTCTTCCAGGCTGAGCTTGCAGGCTGTTCACAATTAAGAATAATCAGATATCTGGTAGTTCCAATTGTTCATGATATGGTGATTTGCCAGGGAAACCACGAAGTCAAAGGTCTTCAAATCAAATAATTTTCCTCAGTAAAATCTCCATTTCCATTTTTACTCCATCATTTTAAGAATCATACTTACTTCTCAGAAATATAGATACATGGCATAATAGGAGATAATGTCCTATTGTAATTATTATTATCTTAATTTCAGGACAAGGCAAAATATTTAGGTGGAAGAACTTTGGGTATGGAATCAAAGGCCCAGTTCTACTATGGCTGTATGATTTGTGCATTTGGGGGTATTGATAACCTAACAGAATTTGTGGGATTTTGTTCGTTGTTGTTTTGTGCCAATCCTGGGGCTTAAACTCAGGGCCTAGATGCTGTTCTTGAACTTCTTTGCTCAAGGATAGTGCTCTATCTCTTGATCTACAGCTGTGCCTAGGGCTTGTTTTTGATGCTTAATTAAAGGTAAGAGTCTCATGGATTTTCTTGTCTAAGCTGGCTTCGAACCATAACCTTCAGATCTCAGCTTCCTGAGTAGCTAGGGTAGCTAGGCATGAACCACTAGCTAGAATTTGTATTTTATTCCACCTCTACAAGTTCAGATCTTAGTGATGCTCAAAGCACTTTGCCTATTGCCAGGCATATGTAAATGTAAAATTTTTGACACAGTTAACTGTCACTTAAGTTACCTGTGTATAAAACCTTAACAAAGCAGAAAATTTAAATAACCAAGTCAATGGAAGAATACTATAGAAAGTCTCCATGACTGTCAGGGGTGGGGGGCTGAGTAAAGGATTGACTATGAAGAGGCTTAGTGACAGAGATGTCCCAAAACTAAATTGTAATACACGAACAGTTAACAGAAGCACATGCTTCAAAGAAGTAAATCCAACAGATGATAGATTTTGTCACCATCAGCTGTGAAGAAAACATTGGACATTCTACATCTATTAACTAGTAGCATCATCTTGGTCCAAGTGCTGAATCCTGGGTGGACACTTAGGTTTTCTGACATATTCTAGGGTGGTGTGTGTAAAGGGGGATGTGGCACCAAGAACAGGGAAGGCTGGGTGTGGGGTGCTGGTGCCTCAGCTCACTGAATAGCCCAACTGGATGAATCTGCTCACTGCAAACATGGTAAGTGGAGGTCTGTGGAGCTGGAAAGAAAACTGAGGAAACTGAGCCATAATTAACATCATTGCGTAGAAAGCTGTCCCCAGGGTGATCTGTGGTCTTTAGCTCTCTGAGAGGAAAAGCCAGCCAAGTAAAATTGCTACCACCACGCCTAAATTAACACAAATGTGCCCGTAACTCTTCAAATACCTTTTAGTGCCATTTCACATCTGAAGCACACTTTCAATGTGTGTCCCTTCAGAGACTGCTCTGGTTTGGTTAACAATTGGCATATTAAAGGACAT